GCCATATGCCTTGCTTGCTTCTCAAGAAAGGAATCAGTGACCGAATCATCCTAGGATGTTTCCTATCTGCGAAGCTTGATAAATTAATTCCTGTCAATTAAATTAAGGATATTAATTTTCTCCTCACAACACAAAATCATTGTAGATCCCACCGCAATTAAGAAAAAAATAAATATTTTTTTTGGTCCTCAGCAAATTTCACGATGTTCGCTTTAGTCCCTAACAAATAAAAAGACTATTCGTGGTCTCTAAGAAATTCAAAATGGATCCATTTAGTTGAAATCGTGGTTCCTCATAAATTCAAAAAAGATCCATATTAGTCCCTCAAGAGGATTAAAATGGGTCCACTTTGAATTTTTTAAGAACCACGAATAGCATCTTTATTTGCTAGAAACAAAAACGGACATCGTACAATTTTGCTGAGAACCGAAAAAAGTATTTACTCTAAAAAAAATTAAGGCACAGATTCTCTCCAACCAGCCGGAGAGGAAAATTTCTTTGGTGTTACGGATGCACCGTAAATTCGATGCATCTTCTACTTATATTATGACACGTGTCTTGCTTTAGTCAAATCAATAATAAATAATGTATTTTAAAAATAGAAGAGAATGCGATTTGATATAAAGTAAGACACGTATCACAATATAAGTGAAAGATGCACTAAATTTTCGGTGCATCAGTAGTACCAAAATGTTCTCGCAGGAGAGATATTTTTTTCTTAAACTAATCCCTTTTCTTCTTTTTTCCACAAAATGGTATTTTTTTAGGTATGATATTCATATTTTTTTTATTATCAATTTACTATCAGTTTAATAACTATTTAATCAAAAAATTTAGCACCTTTTTTTTTTCTCTTTTCAGCCCATTTTTTTCTTAAAAATTTGATTTAACAATAATTAAAATAATAATATAAATATCCTAACTCTTGTTCTTTTACCGCTTCGCACAAATATTATATTTATGCATTTTTGGGAGTTCTAAAAAATAACTTGGTGGGGAAAAGCACCATTTTAAAATTTTTGAGCAAAAGAATTGTTCAGTTAAAGTTGATTGGATAAGTTATTCTAAAGTAATGCAGTCAAACATATCACATATGCTGACGGGACTAGTCTCGTCACTGACGGGACTTGTGCCACGTCAGCGCCACGTAGGCAGTTTTGTTACCATAAAACTTCATAAGACCATAACTTGTGACTTGGTATCCAAATCAGATGATTTTTTTTTTTTTGATTTCACATAACTTTTTGAGATTTATGCAATGACATCTCATTTGACATATTTTATCTCTCACAAACATAATTTGAATTAGTAACAATTGTACCACAATCACGCGTTTAAATTCAGAAGATCTTCAAACTATGTTTGTGGGAGATAAAATATGTCAAATTAGGTGTCATTGCGTAGATATCGAAAATTTATGTGAAATCAAAAAAAAATATCTGATTTGGATACCCGAGTCACAAGTTATGACCTTCCGAAGTTTTATGATAATCAGACTGTCTACGTGGCGCTGACGGGACTAGTTCTGTCAGCATATGTGACATGTTTGACTGCATTATTTTAGAAAAACTTATCCAATCAACTTTAACTGAACAATTCTTTTGCTCAAAAATTTTAAAATGATGCTTTAGCCTAACTTGGTGACTGCTATGCAATTTGTTTCCCTGCTTTAATGTACCAAAATATTATTTCTTATTCATGAAATAACCGCAAAGTTTCAACACGTGCACGATACTTAATAAGCTTAAGCAAGTCATTTGTGAAAGTTACGACAAAAACCACGTATTCTAACTAGGGGAAACAAATATTATACTGCATGCCGATACATGTCAATATAATTCATATTATAACCACAACAAAATATATTTCACATTTTTTATTCACTAACGATGAAGTTTAAAGTTTTATGCGAACTTTTTTGTTTTCTAAATTGTCCGTTAAATTGGTTTAATGTCAATAAAATTTATATTTTATTATTATTTATTAATATGGATAATATGCCCTCCCCACTATTTATAACTGATTCGTAGAAGTTTATATATAATATCAGGTGTGCTAGCTACAATCAATCGTGAAAGCTAGTTATAATAATAAATTTCATACAAGTTGGAAATGAGCTCCGAGGTCGTTGGGAAGAAAGAGTCAATCATTTACGGAGTACATACTTTTGTCCTTTTTTTATGCCTTACGAAAGCTGATCATTAATTATTTTTAAAAACATCGTTGATTAGCTTTCATATGTTGCGTTAAGCAAGCGCCTAGTTTCAACTTTAAAGGGAGAATAAAGCACAACAACATTATGTTTCAGTGCAAATGTTAGTTGGCTGCATAATCAAGCCTGCGGTAATTATATATTTATATTATTGTTTATGTAACTAAGACAGCCTCAAACGTAGGATGTGCAAAAAAACTAGTTCACTTGCCCTGCCCTTGATCCGACCTTGACCCGACCCATAAATACCCATATTTTTTGAACTGGTTTAAATACTGACCCACTTTTATTTTGGTCAGTTTTAGACTTGACTCGTTTTAATATTGACCCACTGACCCAAAATTTGACCCATACCCATTACGTGAAAAAAAAATCACAATTAAATTAAAAGAAAAGTTTTAACGTAAAATAATTACGTCAAAATTTTTTATGGAAAATATTTTCATAAAAATTTTCGCAAAATTTTTTGACGAAAAATATTTTCATCAAATTTTTTGACTAAAAACATATCGGTAAAAAAAGTTGACGAAATATTTTTTTTGTCAAATTTTTTTACGGAATCTAAATTTCGTCAAAATATTTGACAAAAAAAATATTCATAAAAACTTTCGACGAAACACATTTTCCTCGAAATTCTTTGATGAAAAAAAATTTCATCAAAATTCTTTACAGATTTCAAATTTCGGCGAAAGTTTTCGACGAAAACATTTTCGTTAAACTTTTTGACAAAAAAAAATTTCGTCGAAATTTTTAGCGAAACACATTTCTATCAAAAATTTTAGACTAAATATTTTCGTCAAGTTTTTTGATAAAGAATGTATCCATCAAAATTTTCAAAGGAACACATTTCTGTTAAAAAAATTCGTAAAATTTTTTGACAAAAATATTTCGATAAGAAATTTTGACAGAAAAAATATTTTGTCTAAATTCTTTAGAGAATCTAAATTTCGTCGAAAGTTTCAAATTAAACAATTTTCAATGAAAATTTCGACATAACACATTTCCATCAAAAAATTTCGACGGCAAAAAATTCTTTACAGATTTCAAATTTCGGCGAAAGTTTTCGACTGAAATATTTTCGTCATCAAAAAATTTTGAGGGCAAAAAAAATTTCATCAAAATTCTTTACAGATTTCAAATTTTGGCGAAAGTTTTCGATGGAAACATTTTGGTCATCAAAAAATGTCGTCGGCAAAAAATGTCGTCGGCAAAAAATTTCATCAAAATTCTTTACAGATTTCAAATTTCGGCGAAAGTTTTCGACGAAAATATTTTCGTCATCAAAAAATTTTGACGACAAAAAATTTCATCAAAATTCTTTACAGATTTCAAATTTTTGCGAAAGTTTTCGACGGAAACATTTTCGTCATCGAAAAATTTTGACGGCAAAAAATATCGACGGCAAAAAATTTCATTAAATTTTTTTTAAGATTTCAAATTTCGGCGAAAGATTTCTACGAAAATATTTTCGTCATTAAAAAATTTTGGCGGCAAAAAATTTCGACGGCAAAAAAACTCATCAAAATTCTTTCAGATTTCAAATTTCGGCGAAAGTTTTCGACGAAAAAATTTTCGTTAAATTTTTTGACAAAAAAAAAATTTCGTCGAAATTTTTAGCGAAACACATTTCCATCGAAAATTTTCAACTAAATATTTTCGTCAAGTTTTTTGATAAAAAATATCCATCAAAATTTTCAACGAAACACATTCTATATAAAAATTCCGTAAATTTTTTCACAAAAAAAACATTTTGTCGAAAAAAATATTCTGTCAAAATTCTTTAGAGAATCTAAATTTCGTCAAAAGTTTCAAATGAAACATTTCCTTCGAAATAATTTTTGTCAAAATTTTCGTCAGAACACATTCCCATCGAAATTTTGAACGAAAAACATTCCGTCAAAATTTTTTTTTCGTTTAAAACATTTGATGGAAGAAATCATTTTCGTCAAAACTGTTGACGGAAACTAAATTTCAATAGAAAATTTTTTTTTGTAAAAATTATTTAGTGACAAAATTTTCGTCTTTTGCAACGTAAAAATTTCGACAAAATTTTGTGAGAAAACCAAGTCAAAAACGGGTCAGGTCAGATTTGACCCAGTTCAAAAACCAAGTCAGGGCAGATCCAAACTGGTTCTAAACTAGTTCAATAAAATCCAATCCAAGTCAGACCTGACTTGGATCAAATTAAAGCGGGTTGAGTCAAAATACCTGACCTATAAAAACCAAATTGGGTCGAGTCGGACAAAAATCTGACCCGACCTGACCCATGCACAGCCCTACTCAAACGGTTTGAAGACGGTAAAAAAACAAAACAAAAGGATAGTAGGGATGTTTCAAATAAGTTAATTTATAAAATAAAAATTAATAGTAGCAATGGCTTTTAGACATTTAAATAATTTAAAAACTAATAAGCATCCCCGGCCATTGCACAGGTAATTTCTAATTCAAGCAAAATAAAAAATAATAAGTAAAAGGTAAAAAATATTTAAGGAAAAATAATTTAAAATTGTAAAGAATAAATTCATAATTAATTCAAAACTGTGAAAAAACAACTATATAGAAAGTCCGCATGAAGTAAGCACTAAGCAGTATATTAATGATCATACAAAAAAAAAAATTAGATCAAATATCAGAAACCCCTTGTCCTAGCAGGCAAGATGCGTCAGGAATTGAGGTGGGCCGAAAGATATAAATAAGCCCAAATAGAAAGCCTGTTAATATGAGCTGAAATGGGCTTTCGGATTCAAACCAGTCTGTCTCGAAAGGATAAGGCTATGGCTACGGTGGATAATTTGCACACACGCGGTTGCAGAGTAAAGAACAGAAGATGGCACAAACGCTGGCAATGCCTGTGGCACCTTCACTTGCTGTCATCTCCAATCCCTCCCTCTCCAATAGAGTCTCCTTTCATGTTCCGAACCATCCCAATCCCAAGGTAACAACACACGGTTAGGGTTTTGTGGGTTTCACACAATGGTAAAAGAAAAACACGAATTAGAATTTAGAAATGTTATGGTTTATGCAGGTTAATGGGTTAAGCATCCGTTGTGTTCGTGTTGGAGGTGTTGAGATTCCAAACAACAAGCGAATTGAGTACTCACTGCAATATATTCATGGAGTTGGGAGGACCAGAGCTCGCCAGATCCTGTGTGATATTAAGATGGACAACAAAATCACCAAGGAATTGAGTGAGGAGGAGCTCGTTACTCTCAGGGATGAAGTCTCCAAATACATGGTTGAAGGAGATTTGGTACCTCTCTCATTTGTACCTTCTCTCTGTTATTTTTTTTATTTTTCTATTGCTCTCTTTGTAACTGTTTAATCTCTCTGTGAGTTCCAGAGACGGTTTAATGCACTTAATATAAGGAGACTGAAGGAGATTCAATGCTATAGAGGAATAAGGCATATTCAAGGGCTTCCTTGCAGGGGACAGCGTACCAAGAACAATTGCAGGACCTTGAAGGGTAAGAAGGTTGCCATTGCTGGCAAGAAGAAAAAGTAAACTTTTCCTTTTGAGTGATTAATGAATTTTTACGTTCGTTTGTTATCGATTGTGTAAAATTCAACGTGTACTACAATTCGATTGTATTTTATTAAATCAGTTGTAATTTCTCTCTTTTCGAAGTTCAACTCAAGTTTCTTAGCACTCCATCCCTTGAACCACTGCTTGGCCATGTCGAAAATTTAGTTCTTGGCACACAGATGTAGATAAAGTCATGTGATCCTTTGACAACTGTTAGATCAGAAAAATTATAGTTTTCACATCAAGCCTAAATGGCGTTGGGTTTAGTCTATTACTTAGTTTCTCTCTTTTTTTTAGTTAAAATGTAAGTGATATGTATGCTTAATTGTAGGATGCTTTTTTGGGGATTATTGGTGTGATGGACTAATATAAAATGTTAAAGAGTCTAGTATCTTGAAGTTTGGATGGTGTCATCAAGTTTTCAATTTTTTGACACTGAGATAGTGTAGGGATTATTGTATTACTTGGTTCCTGGCTTTTTTTTGGGGTTATGCAGTATGTGTTGTTTAAACGTAAATGGTCGGTATGCCTAATTTTAGGATGATTTTTGGTGATTATAGGTGTGATAGACTAATATAAAATGCTAAGGGTCTAGTATCTTCAAGTTTGGCTAATGTCATCGAATGTACAGAATCTGACACTAGCATTATTGGAAGAATTATGTTCAAAGTGTTTTTTCCTCACCACTCTCTCCTACCCATGGGATTGTTATCAGTTGTCAACTCTATATTAAGTGAATCGACTCTAATTACTGCCTTTTGTTCTTAACTTACTTCTAATCTGCACATTTTCCTATATTTTTACTACTGCATTGGTGTTGGGTATCAATGCAGTTTTTACACCACCTAGCATATTTCTGTGAATCACAGCAATTTTTATATCTGCTTTACTGGATTTCATGTTAGAGGTGGCAAAGTGGGCGGCTCGCCCCATCCCGCCATCAACCTGTCAAAAAATGAGTCAGCCTGCCCTGTCCCGCTTTTGAAAGTGGGCTGAAAAACTCAGCCCGCCCCGCTCCGTTTGGCAGGTTGGCAGCCCAGCCCGAGTCTATTTTACACTGACCCGCCTCGGCCCGCTTATGCCCGCCATTAACCCGCCAAAAAATGAGCCTGCCCCGCCCCGCTTTTGAGATGGGTTGAAAAACTCAGCCCGCCCGGGCGGGGCGGGTTGGGCAGGTTGGCCCGCCGAGCCGAGCCCGTTTTTTCCGGCTCTATTTCATGTTTGTTGAACACCAAAATAACATAAGGACTGGAGCTGTTAGATTATTGTTCAGTCATAAACTTGTCGGTGTTGCTTATTTTCATGCTGAATTATTATTGAACTGCTCTCTACTCGTGCCATCAGCCGTACAATTGTGTTCAATCTTATGCTAATCTAGTAAATCGCTTATAAAATTGTTGGTAGAAAATGTAGCAATGTAGCTAGTAGTGAACTGGTGATTTCACCAATCTATAGACATTTTGGTGACCTAAATGGATACTGGACTGTATACCTGACGCTTTTTCGGACATAACATTTAAGACATGACGGATGAGGAACTTTGAGGTCCTGCCGAGCACCCTTTTCTCATAGATTTTTGCGTATTGGAGAGGGATCCTCACCCAGAGCTGTTTTGGGTAAATAAGATTCAAAAACATTTTTTCGAATAGAAAAGAAAAGAAAACTAATCCGTTTAGATAAAGCGTGAATTGGAATATGAATTTGTATATGTTAAAATTGAAAAGAAATCTGTTTGAATAAATAGTGTTTATTTATATATGAATTTGTTTATGTTAAAATTGTTAATTTGATTAGGTGCTTATGTATTTTAGTGTCCAATTTCGTTACCTATATATGTCTCTAAATCACTAGTCAATCCAAATGTTTTTAAATTTGATGTTTTTTTATGTTATAAAAAATAATTTTATCTCGTACATATATGAAAGTGTATAAGATCTATTGGGTCATACGAGAAGAAGAGAGATTGAGAAAACATAGATCTCACACATAAAAGTGTGTACCTATAACATAAAAGATATTAAGCCCAATATATTTTTGAGCTAAAATAGGCAAGTCTAATTTGGGGTTCATTTTGGTTATCTTTCTATAAAAGAAAATATCATTTTTTTAAGTTACAAACAAAATAATAAAAGTTATATATTGACACTTAATCTGTAATATTTGAGGCAAGATTTTTGATTAAAAAACTAATACATAATTCTTTTTTATTTTTTGAAGGAAGTACTAAATTCTAAGTCGGATTTAAACCATATGTTTCACAATCACATTCAATGCGTTTGTTAAAAAACCTTCTCTCTCTCTCTTTTTACTAAAGAGCAATAATCGACGGAAGGATCAAAAGAGAGTGACCACTGCAAAGGGGCCTGGATTCCATTTGGGTTTTTCCTGCAATTGTTCCTGTTTTGATTTGCGAGAAATCAGGATAACGGGGTGACTGGAGTCCAATAAATGTTAAAAGTCTTGGGCTTCAAAGTAGAGAGGATCCAAAACAAACCAAGTAATCAACAATTTGATTAGCTATATAATTTATGCTTATGCTATACAGTTTAATATTCAGCTTTTTATGGAATTTGATAGGATAGGATTGTCTTAGTTTATTTTTGTTTATCTTTCGGGCATTTCCCTCCTTGTTTACTAAAAAAAAAAAAAATTATTGCAGAAAATTATTTTTTGTCACACTCATATAAAAATAAGTGAGTCTCATTTATATTTTCTTTCTTTTCTTTACAATTGGGCCTACTAACTTTTATGTGAGTATGGCAAAAAAAAAAATTCTACAACAAAAGCAAAAATATTTTTTCATATATATATGAAATAATACCGTTTTTATTATGTTTCAGATGAATGACTTTAATTTTTTGAAATTAATAAATAAAGAAAACCACTCCACTCCAAACTTTCTAAAATTTTCAAAAACTTATTGATGAAACACTAATCTTCCAAGTACATATATATTTCGCTTTGTCTTCCACCTATTTGTCCAAACATAAAAATTCTACGATCGATTATATATGTAATTGATTAACGTTTTGATTATTTAACGTTTTCTTTTAATTAACAACAGTATCATCGTTGGGTATGGCTCATACTTCGCATGCTCATGAGGGCCCTAGTTTTCGGGATCAGCAGAAAGGCAACTGGAGTCCCGCTCCGGCGGGGTCCGGGGGAAAGCGCCCCAGGCCTGTAGAGGCCAGGTACTGTTGTGGGCCTCTGTTTTACTGTAATTTTCTTAGCAGTTTGGGCCCATGAATAGCTGCTGTTAGGATTTTCTAAACCGAATGACTTGTAACGAGTGGTGATGAGTTGAATATAATACAGACAAGCTAGACGTAGCCTATATTGGATGAACCAGGATAAATCAATGTGTCTATTCTCTCTCTTTTTCGTTTTCGTTTTCGATTTGTGTGATTGTCGATTTCCAAGAATCATGGTGATGTTTTGGTGCTTTTTTTCATTCTTTGTGTATTCCTGCAACTATTGATATCTAGCTATATTTTCATTAATAGTTCTTACTAAAACTATATTGATTGTGTTGAGTCAAAGACTCAAAATTTGTGCGTGTTTATTTTTCTCAAAAAAGAAAAAGAAAAAAGAAAAAAGATTTGTACATGTTTCTTTTCTTGTGTTTGGTCTGCGTCTGTGTTCTCATTATACTGGTTCAATATTGGGACGATATGTACATGTAAAAATCTTGTGACTCGCTACATATCAAAATGATATTGACTTGATCCCTTAATTTCATTTCCCAAAAGCTTAATTAATAAAATGGAGCATAAATCACATATTGAAGAAATATATTAGATCCAACAATATGTGGGCAGAAGCCGAACATCCCACGACAGGGTGTGCATAATGTGTTAATTGTTTTTTAGGTTGACATAAAATCAAAGCTATTTATGTCCTAAAGTGGGGTTCCTTTGTCCTCAAATTGAGAGACCTTATTCATGACATTCCTTGTCAACTTTTAAGTGCATATGTTTTTTAATTTTATGGGGTAGTACATTTTGAGGAAGGGGCCTCTTTCTGGCTCGATAATGACCGCCACAGAAGGGATCTCAACTAATGCAAAACAAATCAGTACTTACACTAAATTAAAATAAAATGAAAACTCAACAAATATTTTTTTCTTAAAAAATAAAATAGAGATTTTCTGGGATTGGGGCATTCATTTACCTTATTTTTTCAAACGAAACAAAGGCTCAACCCTTGAGGGAGTCATTTGCAATCCATGATCTGAAGCCCAAATTCTATTTCCGTATAGACTGTGAGAAGTGAGAACGGCACCCTAATTTTTGTTCATAAATTTCTTCTGATGCATATTTATAATTTAATAACATTTTGCATAATTTCAATTTCATTCCGGTTTAACCTCCTGAAGTTGAGACATTTTATAAACTAAAGTTCCTCTCCAGTTTGGTCATTGTGGGAATTTCGCAATTCTCAGGATGTGTATGATACTTTTGAAATAGGCATTATAAGAAAATAAATTGTAGATTCCTATTATTATATATGTGGCTCTTATATATGAGCTTTGCCTTTGGTATTCGAGAATCTACTTGATTAGCAATTTAGCATCCATGTGGTAGAGCACTAAGATCAATTATCCCATAAAATCTTTAAAATAGAGTTCCTCTCCACCTACAACAACAAATGGCAGGGCCACTCGTTTATGGAACATTATCTATGTATATATATGTCCTACATGCCTTACCTTTCACGCGAATTAAACCAGAAAAAATGCACCTTCCAATTGCTTTCGCTCACCCTCAATTTCCAATAAGTACTGTTTGCTTTTAGTTGCCACCACTTGTATATAGAAGGATTCCTTTGCTGTGGCTTGGAATTTCAGTCAGAATTGGTTCTCTAATTCGAATCAATACCAACATATACCTAAACTACAGACCCTATATATACAATACGTCACATTGATATCAGCAAAAAGCAGGGTCTTGTTCTGATTTTTTTTCTTCTTCTTAAAACTATTTTGTGAATAGTTATGGAAATAAGTATTTTCTAAGTTTTTTATGTTTTAAAAGTTAAAAGTCAAACACAAAATAAAAACAACTCAGATATATTTCTTAAATTTGATTCTAAAATAAAAAAACAGTTATAATTTTTAATTT